ATTAAATTTTACGACAATTTGTACTTTTAAAAACAAAAATAAATATTTTAATATCAGACTTTTGCCATGTAGTTGGTTTTCTTTTTGAAATTGAAAGGTTTTCTTTTTGAAATTGAAAGTACAATTAAGTTAAGTTAAGTTTAATATCGGAAATTGTTTTTTGATCTCCGCTAGTAAGATTCCAACAAGTAATCTGTCTGATGTGGGTTGGTTCAGCATACCCCTACACCATTTTTATCCTTAGAAAATTATTGAAATTTAAGTAGTAAAGTCTACTACTCAAGACGCGAGAGAAATAGAATAAGAAAATCATCATCCATATGATCCAGTTTGTTTTCTTTAAGAAATTATGTGTTGAGATGATATATTTTTGTTGCCAAATTCATGATCTTAAGCAAATGAAGGAGGAATCCATACCTTAGTCTGTCACTTTTTATTGCCATATACATGCTCCTTCATCTAAACAGGTGTTTTCCACTTTATCATAAGCAAGCCCTTACGAAACACTGTTTTGTTACATCTATTTCAACTTCGCTAGAAAATTTCAGGATATTTTTGTGGTTTCTGTCTTTTTTTCAATAAATTCTGTACACAATGACAATGAATGTTTAGCGTATTTCAAGTTTTTGATCGCGCTGGTACACTTAGAACCACATATTTAACTAGTTAAAGTTAGAATTATTATTTTTATAAAAAAACGCTTGTGAGTATGAAGCAAATCGACTTTAAACAGATAATGATAGAATGTTGATGCACATTAAATCACATTGCTGGTATTCTAAGGATTAGGATTAAGTTGAGCCCTTGACCACATCTGTACGTTGAATTTCGCTGAAACAAGACTTAACGCTAAAAAATGTCTCTCCACAATTATCACAAAAAAACAAAAAAACAAAAAACAAAAAATAGCATACTCATATTAAGAACTCGATTTCGATCAAGAACAGAATCATCCTCAGTCTGATTTTTGTTTGTTCCCTCTATTTGATATTCTGCTGTCTGCACTGGTTTCAGCATGTTCAGGTAATACAATTAAAGTTTCCTCGTTTTGTCTGCTATAGCATTTTCCATCAAAAACTGTGCCTTTTGATTCCTTTGTCTTACATTCTTTTTTAAACAAAATCTTGCTATCTCCATCTTCATTGCACCAGTAAACATTGATTTTCTATAACGTATTTGACTTTTTAGATCTACTCTATATTCATCCTGGGATACTTGCACAACCTCATTTTTTTTAGCCAGATTCTCTGAATTTGATATCATAACTTGCGGTTTCTACTGGAGCGGCATATTTATGAGTAAATTGTTTGTCCCACGACATCGTTTTACATGCCTCTGCTGATGAAACTTTGCATTCATTGTTTCTTTCACAGTTTTCACTTGTTATCCTTAAAATAATAATAAAACACACATTATAACTAAATGCCATCGATAATAATAAATCATAGTGTGTATGCAATGGTTTCTTGGTACTTTTCATGAAATAAGGGATGATATAGAAACTTTCAACTTCACAAAAATCAAAAGTTCCTATTCAACTACCATATGAATATAATACCATATTAAGCATTTAATTTCACTTTTTTCGTTAAGTTTTGTTTTCTTTGTTTGTATTGTGTTTTTGAATTAGTTCTCGATTTTAGGTTTTACCAATTTTTTGTCAAGTTAATACAGAGTGTTTATTTAAATAATTGTAGCTGATATAAAGAAAAAGTTATCATGTCTGCCCACAGGAAAAAGAAGTCATATTACTTTCTGCAAATGATCCTGTCTAACCGGCATTGCAAACAAAAATTAATACAAAATCAACTGTAGAGAAGACACTGAAAAAATAACCAAAAAGGAGAAAAATGTTGTCTTTACGTTCCATTTGAATTGTTTGTAATTTAGTTTTGGAAGTCATAACAAAGAGAGATACAGATAAATGTACCCAATTGGATACCCTCGGATGAACCTTACTCAAGATTGAGGAACAAAAACCAAACCACATTAAAACAATACGTTTGAGTGCACATATAAAATGATCAGATGCATGTAGGGTTATTTTACCTAGAATTATGTTATTTGAATGATTGTGTGATTTGCAAAATAAGATACAGGCACCTGTTGAATCTTCTTTATTTCTATTCAATTATACGAACGGTCTTTTCAAAAGGCAATTCTAGACTGTGTTTTTTTTTTTTTGATAGTATTTTTTTCATCAAAAGGCATTCGTCATCAGTATTCAAATGTATACGGTTACCACAGATGTGTTTCTTTATCTACATGTATATAACACGTATAAGGCATATTTCACAACGGACAAACGCTGCAAGTGCCGCCTACAGATGCATCATTCATCAACTTTTCGCAGTAAGGCAACCGAAAATAACTTTAGGATATTTTGCAATGTAACCTGCAAAAGTATGAATGTTATTTACATTTTAGAATGTTCAGTTTGTGGCCTCCAATATGTTGGTGAGTCAAAGCAGACAGGTTCGGGAAAGCTTTTGGATAAAGGAACTAAATGTACATCATCCAAACGGCATCAATAAGAAATACTAGCAGTTTTATTTTACACTCATTTTGGGATGTAAATATACACAGTCATGTATATTTGAGTATTGAGTTTTGTTTTATATTATGATGTTCAAGATTTTGGATTAAATCAACAGACCAAAACTTACCTATATTACTGAGCTATTTTACACGTTCAATCAGTATTGTTAAAAGTATTGACACGATTTATAACATCGTCTTCGTATATTACCGTCTTATATTAGTACCGTTGTGCATATCTTTAGACTTATATAATTGTTTCCTTATCTGCGCAGTATCGTCTATTCTAGACGATCCGGTACATATTTAATTTGCTGGTTGGTCCTTTTTATAGACTTCTATATACATATATTTATATAAATATATAACATTTTCCAAAAGACCAAAAAAGTGAAAAAGTATATTTTAACATAACGCATTTGACTAACAGGTCGAACAACAAATGTTCTTAAACCCTGCTGACTGCCATTGGCGATTGCCAAAAAAACGGATCACCGATGTAATGAATGGATCTTATTTATAAATTTAATACTAAAAAGAAAACAATAAACTTGCGGAAAAGATGGTATACCGCAAACAAAAGGTGCAAAGGTTTTTGTACACCATATCCGGATTTCGACAATTAATGTCTCTGCAGTGATGTTAGGAATCGAAACGGTATTTGAAAAGCCATACAATTTACCTCAATTTAGGATAGAATCTTGAATTTTGAGTAGTCAAAATAGGATGAACGGATCATATAAACCCGAAGGCAAATATAATACAAGCCCAAACGAAAAAATATAAACAAGTCTAAATTGAAAACAACGTTCAAACGTTAAAATTATTTGCCTTTTCACTGCCAGAATTTTTCAAAAGCCAAAAAAGGACGTTACGTTGATGACGTTGCTAAATATTATTTCAACACAGACGTTTGCCATTGAAAACCCAATAAAACCGTCAACGTTTGTTGAACGTTATTACACACATGGCAACCTTTATAATCTCTCAAGCTTATCCAAATGCTTATTGTTTGATTTGTGTACATTTTGGTCGGCATAAAATTATTTAAAAATAAGCAAATTTGAAGTTGAATTAATAATTTATAATACGTGTGCACCATATAATATTTGTGAACAGGACAATATTTGAGGCATCCATAAACTTTTGAGTGATAAATACAATGTATGGTAAGCACTATAATTGATGTTTTTTCTCCATTTTAAAATGTAAATATGATCTGGTCAATTTTATTAATGAAAAGACAAAGAGAAATGTGCAGATAATTTAATGATCGATATTGCATAATTAAAGTTCTCTACAGTCTTCGTGTAAAGTAACACAGTCCTTATGGAGGCCTTAGTTGCAAAAATTGCATACGGTCCTACTCCTCTTTCTACCACCGTGGCTGCAGTTTGAACACACGCAACAGTCCTTCTCTTTTCTGTCAGGCAAGGTAAGTACAGACCGTGCTCGCTGATATGGTCTTCGTCGATGCTGTTGTTCATTCCGGACAAAGATTCAACAATCTCCTGGATGAATCTAAGTCTGGATTTTACGGGTGTGTCCGACGTGTTTCTTTGGTACAATATATAGGCATTATGTACAATGCGATGAAATAAATGTAGGACAACTTTCTTTCAGGGTTTACGGTTTTTTCGGTGTCCTCCGTACGCTTTCATTATGGTATCGGTTGTGTCAACTGCTCCCATATTTTTATTGTATCCGTTCACTATGCGTGGCCGGCCGGAGGGAAGATCTTGAGCTGAAAATGCCGTACTTAGCATTCGGACTGGTATTTTCCCATCCACATTTCTAAAAGCGGCGCATAACATTTTACCTTTCCCCATGTAAACAGGATTGTCAGGTGTCGGATTCGCGTTACGAATGGTGTTCGGCATAAGTCGATTCTTTCTAAGAGTTCCTGAAAAAAGAAAAAAATATGTCGAAACATTTTCCAATGTATCATAAGCTATCTATTGACATATATATATAACTTTAAGAAACCATAGTAACACTGCGTACATGTGCCTATCTAAGGAGAGATATTGACTGCAATGCACGTATTATACTTTAAACGAACTGTTGAGATGTACATATTTGGTGTATTTTAAAATGCAAGCTTACCATTCCAGAGTGCACGAGTTCACACCAGTTTTTTTACGGGGTCAGTATTTCTGTTTAAGTTTCAATGAGAAATTATTCTTTAACCATTAGTTTGTTTACATGTTGATGGTTTGTTGTTTTTTCTTATTTCTTTTATTTCTATATATATATATATATATAACGATTTTTTTTTCTGTTTTGTCTGACCTTTATTGTTTAATTTGGGGAATTTTCATAACACTAAAACTGACTAAAAATGTTATTACCACTGTCTCGAAGTTGAACTAGTGATATTAAAATACCGACAAATTGTGGGAACAAAAGTAAAAAAACATTGGTACACCGATATAAGGTGAACATTCTACATTTAATTTGTTTTACTTAAAATAGCTACCTGTAATATATGTAGTGGTTTGAATAAGTCGTGAAATTAGGTTTTGTGAGCAAAAGAAGCTATCACAAAAGACATGGAACCTTTTATTCAGATGATTAGACGCACTCATAAGGTCCATGACAACCGTTGTACCCTGCAATTGTCCTGCTGGTACTGGATCAAATTGTCGCCCTCTGTACACAGACATTTGTAAAATGTAACCAGTCGCTGATTCACACAGCATCCACAATTTAAATCCAAACTTTGCAGCCTTAGATGGGATATACTGCCTCATTACAATATGACCTTCGGTTGCCATTAAAGTTTCGTCCACACAAACCTCTTTTTTAGGAACAATGAAACGACAAAATTGTTTGTTCATAAAGGATAACAGTGATTTAAATCTTGAAGCAGGGTCATACGCTGGGTGCTATAAAAAACACAACAAAACATCTTGAGATGAAGTTATGCTGTAAATCAAAAAGCCCGAAGGGGAATGGATACCTTATACCCTTACTCGGGACTGAACGTTTGTTTTCAATTGCTTTAAGTTCCTCTGCTAACACTTTAGATTTGGAAAGAAACATTCTGATTTCGTACCAGACATTAAGTAAACGACGAGGATAAATGGATAAAACGGAAACCATTATTTAAAACACAAATTGAACGGGTTATTTCTATAAAAAAAAAGGTATGACAAAACGAGAAATTGATCATCAAATTGAGAATGGAAATTGAGAATATGTCAAAGAGAGAACCCGACCAAAGAGCAGATAACAGCCTGATTGTTTTCGCACATCACTATGCGGTATGGGATTTGCTCATTGTTGAAGGCTGTACGGTGATCTAAAGTTGTTAAGTACTGTGTCATTTTGGTCTCATGTGGAGAGTTGTTTTATTGGAAATCATACCATATCTTCTTTTCAATATTTACGTGGTTTACACAGTCTAATTCGTACCTGTCTCGGGACGTTTCTTGAATAGTCTGACACATATAAAAACTGGAAACGATTTCTCGACATAACCTCCTTGAACCAATGGGATGCCTGACTTGGCATAGATGAATTCCAGTATTCTTCTATGGAAGACTTCCTAATCAAACCCATGTTGAACACTATAGCTAGGAAAGACTTTAGTTCATTTTCTGTCAGCGCTCGCCAAGACTTCATTCTGGCATATATTTTGGCAGTGGCTGTACCCTTTCTTATAAAATTTCTTGCATAACTGTACAAAGGAATGACATATCTTTAGATTTATATATTAAGAAGATGACCATTTGTTATTATGTTAGGGCAGGAAGGTTTTAGTGCGGATATTTATTTTCATCTCTTTCTACGAATGCTCATATTTTTTTTTGTTCATGCTGTCTTGGGCAAATATATTTATTTTCTGCTCTATATATAACCATGCAAGGATATTCATTTTATAAATCCTCATTTCTCCCCTCAAGAAAATCAAATGTTCGTCCACTTTAAATGTTGGCCTTTTTTTCTCAAACTCCAAGATGATACATGTATAAAGAAAGGCATCGTGTTATTCTGATTTTTATCTTTCCTAATTATGTCTCTTAACTTTGATACGTTTTATTTCGCTAAGTTTAACAAATTGATTAACAATGTTTGATTTAAGTTAAATGGTTTGCTTATTAAATTTTTAAACAAAACAACAACATTGAAGATATTTTTTTTTCTATCAGTGCTCTTTCAAAATGAATTTACAATGTACCTGTTTGTTCTTGTGACGATTTCTTTGATTAGTTCAATCGAAAACAGCAAATAGAAATACTTTCCTGGTGCTGAATTTGCTGCCGGCATGTTGTGCGGCCCGGGATTTGCACGGAATATTGTGTTCTGCTCCGGTTCTGGAGGAAAAGCTTGCACCCATGGATATACGGAAACCATTGCGCTGACTTTTACAGCAATGACGTCACCGTTTCGTCAGAGAATTGTATATGACGTCACGAAAAAAGGAAAAATGTAGAAAAAAAGACAGAATGTTGACAGAATATCAAATTAATGTTTTATATCATTTTCCCATACCATCGGCCAAATCGGCCCATTGGCAGTTAAAGAACACCTAAATCGGCCAAGTCGGACGGCTGGCAGTTAAAGGTAACGTCAATCGGCCCTGATCGGCCCGTTGGCAGTATAAGGGTTAATGTGTCTTCTTGCACTAATAAAAACTGATCACGAAAAAGACAAGAGAGCTAAATGTTGTGTTTAGTATAAAAAATAAAATAAATGAAATATTGTTCAATTACCCATACTTTGCCGTAACCTTTTTGCTGCCAAAATTGTTCAAACTCCAAAATAACGTTACACCTATGACGTTGCTAAATTTTACTGCAACGTCGAAGAATTCATGCCAGTGGAAACCTTATACCATTTTTAACGTTATTTTATGTTCAATTGATTAAGTTGAAAATATACTGAGTTTATGTAATTTTTGTTTGGCATATATATATATAGATTCTACCACTGCATCGAGTGTGATACGATATTTATCCACTCGAGACAGTTAAATTTTCAAATTTAAAACGCGAGGCTCGCCGAGCGTTTTAAATATTTAAAATTTAACTGTTGAGAGTGGATAAAATATCGTATTATACAATATTTGGTGGTGGAATCTGTTTCTAATGCTTTTCAAACAATACGCAGGCAAACTTTTTCCTTCTTTTCGAATGATCTGCAAAAAGATGTGTTCTACCTATGTGACGTCATCAGGCATGGTCGCCTTTTTTCATGCCGTCACATAGGAAATTCAGAGGAAAATTAGAAAATTCGACGTCATAATCGGATTTTAACCAATGAAGAACTGAGATCAAACAATCCACAATTGATTAAAAAATTTTTGTTAAACAATGGGTACAGAAAGGGATAAACTGACGAAGAATTAGAGAAACTAATGTACAAACTAATTAATTCTGGTTCAAAAGTAAATTGGATTTTGAAAAATATAATATCATGAATTTGTGTGAAATGTTACACTTACGAATATTTGTTTTGAATAGACAGAGATGTGCAAAAATTTGTTATGTCTTCTACAAAATCCGTCCACAGATTTTAGATTAAAACCTATGTGTTATTGCTATAAACATTTACGTTTAAATGGTGTGAAAATATTAGGGGGTCACCGGATTCTTTTTTTTTCAGGCCACACTTAAAAATACTTTGGTTTGCCCAAACCCTACTCAAAGGTAGAGACATTTGGTGGGTAGGTAGGCATTTTATTTTCATCAAAGAGAAATTGAAGTGTCATATGTTTTTTTAGTCCTCATGCCTATCTAGTCCAGCCCTGGCCTCAGTGACTTATTTTCAACTTTTATTTTTTTTTTTGTCACTGAGTCCAGCTCGCCCTCCATTACCTTCAATGGTGCAAGCTCCCGGGTAGATTACCCGGGGACGATATAGACAATACCAGAGCGCTCAAGTACGAAAAATGTATAACAAATGGTAAAACATGATAAAATAAACAAGTTACATACCTGAAATGCTTATACACTATGTGGAAACTCATTTTAACAGGAGGAAATCCCTTGCAGTCGGAGCTGTGGAGATCTTGTTTACATCAGTAACGCTATATTACGGAACGTGACGTTTCTACGCTATAACGTAGACGAAACGAATTCAATGTATCGATAAAGATGTTCAACGCTTAAAACTCGTTACGGTAACACGACACCGAATGGCATATCTCCCGATATTTAAATTTTTTTGGCACAATTGTATTTTGAATCGAGTTACATTAGCATATGTCATTGTATGCAATAAAAACTTAGGTCACCATTTTTGTTCTTGTAATTTTCATAAGAAAACGTCAGTCAATGTTAACGTTGACGACAAATTTTTTGAAGGGGAAATATATAACAAATGGGGCTTGGTATTTTTTTGGGGGTATTTGAATTAACTTAAACTTGCATAGTTGATTTATGTAAAAAATTGACAAAGTAAACTCGTGTTTTTCATCGAAGGAAATTCAATGTTCACACAAGTGTTTTTGAACCAGGAATGATTACACTAGTGCTTTTGTACCAGAAATGATTACACTGATTTTGAACCAGGAGTGATTACATTGATTTTGAACCAGGAATGATTACACTAGTGATTTGTACGAGGATTAATTGCACTAGTTATTTTGAACCGGGATTCATTACACGAGTGTTTCAGATCCATACATTGATGAAGTTTTTGGGTACTCATTTTGATTTGAACACATGATAACACAATAATGTTTTATTTACAAATTAGATTTGAATGATTTTTCTATGCAAATCCATAAAGTCTTATGATTTGAATTGTCACTAATTGTAATAATCATATACTGCATTGCCAAAGTTTTACAGTGCATTTGCGTTTTGATCGACTTAAAATCATGTAATCTATGTCAATATCTATATATCATAAAACGCAGGATAGATTGATTCAGATCAATTACACTGGTTCCTTGAAAATTATTCTAATTCCAACCCATAAATGTATGTAAACAATAAACCGGTCAATATAAACAAAACAACGATATCAAGATATACGCTTTCAAGCTATTTACATCCAATATTCTCTAGTGAAAAACAGGTATCCGGAATAAATCCACGGTGGAATGAAATTACGCTTACATATGCACCCTCTATATACTGCAGTCCTAAGAAATTAGCCGTATAAAACCTATTTATACCCAGTACGGATTGGACTGTCGAACGGGCACGGTTAAAACAATATATATATATATATGTTATGGTGCTATATTATAAGGAATGTGGTGACAATACAAATATCATTGAATATGCAGTTCATAGCTACAGTGAAATGGTAATTTGGAGATCTGAAATGAAGCAATGTTAGCAAACAAACATGTACGTCATTTGGTCTTTGGTGGAAAGTTGTTTCATTGACAATTTTACCACATCTCCTTATTTCATTATGGTTTGAGTTTTCTCCAGAAACAAAAGAAGTTTAACAACTTAAACAAATATGTACTAGGAAACTGAAATATGTTACTACGATAATTAAAATATGGCTATTGTTGTGAACGTGATAGATTTAGTTCTTGCTATACTAAATATACTTATATATCTTTCCAATACAGGGGACCAACGTTTACTAAAACTACAAATTAGAAGTACAAAGATACTAGTCCATAATGCATTAATCACGATTTTCTAGATATATGTGGTTTTGATATCATTAGTTGCATAGCTGTTGCTATCTTATTTTATATCCATATCTCCATTTATTCACACAAAGAAACACCAACACTATTTTTTACATACATAAAATTGAGAGTGGAAATTGGGAATAGGTCAAAGAGACAACAACCCGACCAAAGAGCAGACAACAGCCGTACATACATACTTGTTAATTTGTTCTAAAAACTCCTTATAAGACTATGAAAACCCTCGGGCTTTTCCCCGACGCCTATGTGAGCAATATGCCCTCCCCCCAAAAGGTAACTCTGTTAATCGTCTTTCAGTCGTTTTGTCTCCCCCTTGAACTTGTTCATTATGTCCAACTAAAAAAAAACACAAAAAAAAACCACACCATCCCCGAATTCCCAGGCGTGAATTAACATGAATTTAAACCTAAATGATTTTAAGATCTCATTGTTTTCAGTCTGTTTCTGCCGTTTGACTTACAATTAATGAGTCATTTGCTTGTAGATTTCGAGAAAATAATTTGTAACGGGACCAGTCTGACTAATGCCAGCCTCCACCTACCCACTTTTTTTTTAGACTCAAGTGAATACGGGGGAGGGGGTCTGGCTTTAATCAGGCTGTAACGGGACATGAATTATGTAATTTTATTTCTTCCTTACCAAATGCACATGTATTTCTGAGCCTTTGTTAACTTTCTCCTCATTCCGATGTTGCTGTCACATGGAGACCCCGTTTATACGATTACAAAACTAGAACTTTATTTTCAAAATATTTCCGAAACTATATCAGATTTCTTCTGTACAGACCAATGAATTTCAGAGACTGATTACACTTGGAACACAGGGAAGTTATTTGGCCAAATAATCAAGTTCAACCATTGTTATTTCTCATTCGATGCTAAAAAAAACTCTTTTCTGTATGATCCGATGATGAGTTTCAACGTGTGCTTGTATTGTGCTTTTTTGCCTAATTCCATCCGTATTCTTTCAGTCCAGAAAATTTCGTTTTTTTTTCGAATAA